AGAAATTGAGGAGTGGCCCATCAGTTGGGAAATGAATGACAAGTTGTGGTATATGATTATGATGGATTACTATTATGCCATAAGAAATGATGAGCAAATTGATTTCAGAAAAAGCACGGGAAGATTTGCATGAAATAATGAAAAGTGAAATGAGCAGAAGCAAGAGAACACTGTACTGAAGATATTGTTTGAAGTATAACTGAATGACTAAGCTATTCAGAGTATTACAGATATTTAAATCAACTGCAAAGGACCAATGAAGGAAGATGCTATCCACCTCCAGAGACAGAACTGATAAATCAAAGTATGCACAGTATGATTTTATATACGTGCATATGTGCATACATACATACAGATGCATGTGTATCCACATATTTATACATCTGTGTCAAATGGTGGCCTTCTCTAGTGTGGGGTGGGAAGGGAAGGAAGGAGACAATTTGGAACTTAGAATATAAAAAACAAACAAAAATCTATGGTTTCATGATCTCTCAACTCCCTACCTGCTCCAAATCTAGGATGTTTGATATCAGTGGAATGAGCCAAACCCTGTACCCAATGTCTGCATGTATACTTGGTGGGATCTGGTCCCCACCTCTCTGCTACAGTTTTGAAAGAGGAGGCTAGATAGAGGTTCACCTCCTACAAGAAGCCTTCAGTGGTAAACTCCACTCAACTGCAGTAATGTTTCAATTTTGTGAACTTCAGTAATCTTAGTTTATGGTAAATAGTCAGTCAATAAGCATTTATTATGTGCCTACATGTCTGACACTGTGTTACATCAGTACTTGGACTCAGTCAAAAGGCTGCACCACCTCTTTGTGGAATGGCCACCTTTCCTACCTTCAGCATGGGTATATAGGTCAAGGTAGGGGGACCTAAGGGAAAGGGCTCTCACTGAGGAGGCAGAGTCTGTCCCTTTTTTCTACACCTTGCAGCTGTCTTTTTTTTCCAGCCTGTTCTGACCCCCTAGGTTTTGCCTGATCTGGGCCTGTATCTAGGGAACTGCCCTCTGAGCTACTTGGAAGGGACCCCAGTGGCCACGGAGTCTGATCTTACCACTCTATGAATCCTGCCTAGTGCTTATGCAGCCTCTGCTTGAGGCCTTCTAGTGAAGGTAGACTGTCCATTTTTTGGACAGCTCCATTTGCCAAGGAGTTTCCTGGCCATAGAGACCAAACAGGCTTTTTTTTTTTTTAATTTCCACCCATTCCTGGTTCTGCCCTCTGGGGCCACACTGAGGGAATCTATTATCCATCCTCCACAAGATAACCATTCAAGCAGCTGAGAGGGCAGAAGGGGAATGCTACTATCTCCAGTATTTCAGAGAAATACGTGGAACTGGCTTGGTGTAGGCAATGGATATCCTTTTTTTTTTAAGGCCACTGGGGTTAAGTGACTTGCCCAGGGTCACACAGCTAGCAAATGTCAACTGTTTGGTCTGAGACCGGATTTGAACTCAGGTCCTCCTGACTTTAGGGCCAGTGCTCTATCCACTGCACCACCTCGCTGCCCCTAATGGATATCACTTTTGCCTTAGGTGAGCAAGTCAGAGGCTGGGGAGTTGAGAGTTAGCAGGCATCCAGAGGAAGGCAGTTAGATGAATTTGGCTCCCAGAGGGGCCCAGAAGACTGAGACTTCCTCTAACAATCTGGGTTGTAAAGGGCCGCCCCAGTGTGTGATGCTTCTCTTTTCCTGCCAGCATGAGGAAGGGCCAAGCATTTTCCAGGGCCGGCTTTCTCCAGGGAGCCAGGTTGGATGGCCAAGTTCTTTGACGTGGAACTGAATGGGCTCATTGGCTCCGGGGTTGCCGCCTCAGAAACTATCCAGAGCACATTCAAGCCTGCCATGGTCCTGCTCTCTGAGGCGTCCAAAGCTTTTTGGAAGGGTTGTGGGAAAGCTTTTCAGGAGTTGCTCCCTTCTTTTCAGCAATAGCTCCCAACAAAACAAAGGCCAATTCAAAGGTTCTGAAAAGCTGACCTGTTCCAGTTCTCAGATGACCTCTGCCTGTTGTATCTGTCAGTCAGTTAACAGGCATTTTACTGAGTACTTTCTGTGTGTACTGCACAGGGCTGGCTACACGTGTGTGTGTGTGTGTGTGTGTGTGTGTGTGTGTGTGTGAGAGAGAGAGAGAGAGAGAGAGAGAGAGACAGAGAGAGAGACAGAAGCAGAGACAGAGACAGAGAGAGATATAGAGAGACAGAGGGAAAGAGACAGAGGTAAGACCTGGTCTGCTCTAGAAGCTTTTAAGTGAGAAAAAGAGGACATAAAAGTAAGAAACAGGGTCAGCTTAAGAGACATTGGTAATACTTATATAACAGAAAAAGATAAAGGAAATGTTTGATCATGTTACTCCCCTGCTCAATAAACTCTAGTGTCTTCCCATTGCTTGCAGGATCAAATGCAGACTCCTCATTTGACCCTCAAAGTCCTTCCCAAACCAGCGCTTGCCTAATTTTTGTAGGTTTATCTCATATTATCTCTCTCTCTGTCTTTGTCTCTGTCTCTCTTTCATGGTTCAACCAAAGTGATTCACCTTCTGTTCCCCCTACATGACATAAGATAACAAATTAAGAGCTGGAAAAGCCCTTAGAACAGGGGGTCCAGGCATAGATTTCAGGGGGATACATGAACTTGGATGGGAACATTCTAATACCAGAGTGCATATACAATACTTTGTGGTTTGCAAAGGGCTTTACATAGGTTATTTCATTTGATTCTCAACAACCATGAGTGGTAAGTACTATTATTATCCCCATTGTACAGATGAATTAATTGAGACTGAGAGAGGTTAAGTGACTTGTCTCAGGATCACATAGCTAGTAAATATCTCAGACAGAATTTGAACTCGCTTCCTGACACCAAATCCAGAACTCTCTCCACTGTGCCACCCACCTACCTTAAAATTACCACCCCCACAATCATCTTTATTTTCACTCCCTTCTAACTAAAATTTCCAATCCAATAAATATCTATGAAGTTGCTATTATTTGCCAGACATCATGCTAAATGTTGGGGATACAATTAATAAAAAGAAAAATAGTACATCCCCTTAAGGAACTTACAGTGTAATGGGGGTAGCCAACATACAAAAGGAAGTGAAATACTAAATTTTAGTACTTCATTCACTTATTCAAAACCATTATTCTGAGAAGGATGTCGTAAGTGTTATCAGACTCTCCAGAGGGCCCATTATACAAAAAGTTTAAGGACTACTATCTTGGAGTTCATGATGATTTTAATAATATCATGTTACACATGAGGAAACTGAGATGCAGGTGACTTGGACAAAGTCACGTAGGGAACAAGTCCAAATAGATTCAAATTGACTCAAAAATCCAGTCCCCTTTTCACTGTGCCATGTTCCCTTCCACAGGAGGAGCCCTCCCACTGTGCCTTTGCACAAACTTGGAATGCTATCCCTCTGTCACAGCCACTTCTAAGAAAACTGAGTTCATTAAATTTCAGCTCAGGTGCTGCTTTTCTGATCCTCTCTAGGTGTTAGGGCTCTCCTTTGCTGCAATCATTTTAGATACACTTCATATCTATATCTATCTTTATTTGCTTATCTGGGTATTGCTAGTATCATTTCTTATCATAAGGAGATGCTGCATGCACTAGAAAAGGGAAATTGGATAAGCGTGCACTTCCGTTCTTAGTAACACCATTAGAAAGTAGTAGGGAATGAACCAAAGCCTAGATTTGCAAATTCTCAATCAGATGCTTACCCCACCCCCCCATCCGACCATATGCTTCAGTACTTGAATCTCTCTTGGCCTGATTACTACCACGAGAGAAATATTCCAAGGCTCATGGAAACTAGATACTGACTCCCAGATATTTGTAGTCCCCCTCCCAGAATGGGACATCTTAGGACCCTTCATCCTCTGGATGATAGGTTTTGAGACCAAACCTTCCTTTTACTTGAAAAGGAATTCACCTGTAATGTAGGATGCTATCTTGTTGGGCATTGTGTAATCTTTGGGGAGTGACTTTGGCTATGTCTACATGAAGCCAAAATACATATAGGTAAAGTGTAGAAAATGCAGTTAATTATCAAAACCATAGACCTACTGTAGGAAATGATCTCAGAATTCATCTACTCCAGTCTCTTCATTTTATAGTTGGAGAGAGGTGAATTAATTTGCTCAAGATCACATGGATAGGTAGTGAATGGCAGGAAGAATTTAAACCCAAGTGCCCTGAATCCAAATCCAATGTTCTTTCCATGGGTCATGCAGCCTCTCAAAATTAAAAAAAAATACACCTCAAATGTCTAGATATTTATTCAACCAACACCAAATATTAGAACATGACCAGATGTTTTCAGATATCTAAATTGCAGAATTAGAATCAAGGGGGATATTATAGGCCATCTAGTCTAATGTTCTCATTTTCTTGTTGTTCAGTCATTTCAGTTGTATTGGACTCTTTATGACCCCTTTTGAGGTTTTCTTGGCAAAGATACTGGAGTGGTTTGCCATTTCCTTCTCCATCTCATTTTACAGATGAGGAAACTGAGGCAAACAGTGACTTGCCCAGGGTCACACAACTAGTAAGTGTCTGAGGCTAGATTTGAACTCCTGAAATGAGTCTTTCTTTATTCCAAGGCCAGTGCTCTATCCACTGCACCACCTAGCTGCCCCAAAATGTTCTCATTTTATAGCTGGGGAAACTGAGGTGCATAGAGGTCAAAAACCTTGCCCAGATAGTACACAGGTCCACTAGCTCCAAATCCAGTTCTTTTTCTTGTGTGCCATGTTGCCTATCCGACACTTGGGCATCTCTGCCTTCCATCCTTGGCCATTGACATTTATTTCCACTAGAAGCAGAACAGCTGTCAATCTATGGGGCCCTGCAGCTGTACTGAGAAGGCTCTTTCAGATGGCATTGAAGGTTTGAGATGGACCTACTCAACGGTCTATGATTACTGTCAGTTGAAATCGACCATCTAAGAAGGAGCAAATTGTCAGTTTCCCAAACAGCAGGAAAACACTTACAATTGAATATCCAGGAAAATCCTCTTTTCCTCTCCTACGTGAATCTTCCAGATGCAGTCCTCTCCCTCAGCATAGGGCTCAGGCCAGTTTGGGGAAAGCACAACTCCAGTGACTGCAGACAGCTCCCCACCGCACACGGCTGAAAGAGGAGACAGAGTTAGGTGGACACAGGCTGATGCATTGGCCTGGGAAGCCTGTGAGAATGGAATGGATGCTGTGGCTTGCCTCTAGACCCTCCCTGAGCAGGAAACCCCCCCTCTATAGCATCCTGGGTGAATAGGCACCCAGTCTCTGCTTGAAGATTTTCAGTGACAAGGGGACTCACCACCTCCCAGGGTAGCTCATCCTAAATTGGGGTTGCTCTAATTGCCATGCAATATTTCTTTATATTCAGCTCATTTGTCTCTAATTTCTGCCTGCTCATCCTTTCTTTGGTTTGTGGGGCCAAGAAGAATATCTCCAAACACTTTTCTTTAGCACATCCCTTTATAAATGAGAGTCCTAGAAGGGACTGTTGAGGTTACCTGGTCTATTCTTCGTTTTCGGGTGAGGAAATTGAGGAAGTTAAGACTTAGGGTCTCTTATCTTTCCACTGTACTATGTTTCCTTCTGTTCCCTATGTGACCTTGGGAAATTCATTGAACCAACATCTCTGGGCTTCAGTTTCCTTATCTATAAAATGAAGGGAATAGATGAGATGAACTTTCTTATCCCTTACAACTCAAAATCTATGCTGCTGTGATATCCATTTCTGCCAACAGATGCTAGTATTGTATGGTCTCTGGTCCCCATGTTATCCTGGTCACTTTCTCTGGACTAAGTCCTTCCTCTCTCTCACTCCTCTATATAATTTAGTTCCGGAACTGAACACAGTGCATACTCCAAGTTGGAGCTGGCCAGATTTTGGAGCTAACTTTGTGTTTACCTAGTGAATGTTCTGACTGAGGTCCAGGCCAGAGCACCCATAAATTCTGCTCTGTTAAACTCACGCATTTAATATGGGGATCAATCTTTCATGGGCGACAATGGCTGTGATTTCACGCCAAACTGAATCGGGTGAGGATGGCTGCCGAGAGGAGAAACCTGTTTCATTATTCTGTGAGTTATCCTGGTATGGGGCTGACATGCCAACTTTAAACACGGAGATCAATGAGGACAGAGAACCAGAAATGCCTTTGATATGCCTTATAGATGTGTGCTCTGTAAACTCAGCCTTTGGTATTAACAGGACCTATTACAGGGCGTTAATAGCCTCTCAGCCTCACTGGTGCTATGCTGAGGATTGAATGAGAGGGAGTCTGTGAAAGCTTTGGAAGGCATGAAAGGGGCTACCAGAATTTAAGGGGTAGGTTGCTCTAAGTAGTCATATTATCATATGTCATAGATTCCACATCCTCAAGTGAAAAGAATGAAAGGACCTTAAGTGCTGGTTTCAGTTCTGCTACTGATTTTCTGTGTGACTGTGGGAAAAGTCACCTGACCTTTCTGAGTCTCAGCTTCTCCAGTTATAATATGGTGGTGGTAGGTGAGGTGGCAATGATAACTGCCTTGCCTACCTCCCAGGGCATATTGGTTGGCCCAAGTGAGATAAAGGATATGAAAGTGCTTCAGAAAAGCATAAAAGGGGAATGAAATAAGTCATTGTATGAATGTGGACAGGTCTTTTCCTCCAACTGGACCCCAGTTTCTTCCTCCACAAAATGAAAGGGTTGGACTAGATGATCCCTGAGACTTCTTGGATATTTTGGCATTTAATGAAGCTGTTATATTATGCAGAGGGGTCATGACAGAATGAATCAAGGGCTGGGAGTCAACTTCTTCCCCTCCCCCCTCTCTTTCATTTACGTTTCTCCCTTCTTGCTGCAAGTCCTGATTTCCCCCTTTCCTCCCTCAATCACTCTCTTTCTTCCTTTAATTCTTCCCTCTTCCTTTCTTCTCTCATATCTTCCCTCTCTTTGTTCCTCTTGTTTTCCTCAATCCTTCTCTCCCTTACTTCTTCCCTCAATCCTTCCCTCTCCTCCTTTCTTCTTTCCTCCCTTTCCTTCTCCCTTCAATTGTCTCTCTTCCTCCCTTCTTTATTCATTTTTCTCTTCTTCCACCAATCTCTCCCCCTTTCTTCTCTTCTTTCTTCAATATGTCTTCCCTCAATCTTTCCCTTTCTTCCTCCATTCTTTTCCCAATCTTTCATTTATTTTTCATCTCCCTTCTCTTCCTTTTCTGTTTCCACTCCTTCTTGCCATATAATATCTTGCTGGATCCTTTGCTGTCCTGTTGTTTTGTTCAGCAGAAAAGGAGTCAGAAGAAACTCCCCAAACCCAGGGGCCCTGGTAGACCATTTAATTCTGCCAAAAGGGAAAGATAACTCTTTTTATTTAAACTTTTTAGGTAGTTCAGAGTGAAATTAGGCAAATTTCTGACCACCTTCAGTCCAGTGGAAGGTAGCAGCAAGATGAAAGAGAAATTGAATCAGGGTACTGACTAGCTCAGGAGAAAAACACAATCTGTTGGACACAGAGACACTAGGATTAGAGGCAATGAGATTTGTTTCCCAAGGCCTTGTCTGGGCTCTCCTTTCTTCATTGAGTCACAGAATGTGAGGGTTGGAAGGACCATGTGGTCCAACCTATGTCCAAAGGAAATCTCCTCCAGAACATCCCAGACAAATGGCTGCCCAGACTCTCCATGCCTACCTCCTGGGAAGAGGAGCTTGCCATTTCTTCAGGCAGCCTATTTCTCTTGGAAACAGCTCTAATTGTTAGGACGATTTTCCTGATCTCAAATTTAAAATTTCCTCTTTTCAAATCTGACCTATTGCCCTTGGTTCTGTCCTCTGTCAAACAGAACAATTCTAATCCTTCCTCCCCAGGAGAGCTATGCATACCTGTTTTGACAATTTTCTTTTTCGAGCTGAACATTCCCAGTTCCTTTAACTTATCCTTATATATTGTGAACTCAAGGCCCTTTTACTATCCTTATTGCTCTCCTATGAATGCTTTTCAGTTTGTTAATACCCTTCAAAAAGTCAGGTGCCCAGAACTGGACATTGTATTACAAATCTGGTCTGATTAGGGTGGAATGTAGTGGGATTGCCACTTTCTTATTCCTAGAAGTTATGCCCTTCTTAATGTAGCCGAAGATCACATTAGCTTTTTTGAGTACAGCCTCACATTGCTGACTCATATTAAGCTTGTGGTCCAATAAGATCCTCAGACCTTTCTCAGAACAACTGCTCTCTATCCTTGCCTCTCCCCCACCTTGTACTGAAATTGATTTTTTTACCCTAGTGTAAGACTTTATATTTATCCCCATTCATATTGGATTATGCCCATCTTATTAGAATGAGCTCAGTAATTTGTCCTGTTGAGACAGGATATATATATATGTATATATGTATATATATATATATATATATATATATGTGTGTGTGTGTGTGTGTATATGTATATATATGTATATATGTATATATGCATATATGTGTATATATGTGTATATATGTATATACATATATATGTATATATGTATATATGTATATATGTATATATGTATATACATATATTTGTATATATATGTATATATGTATATATGTGTATATATGTATATACATATATATATATATAATATACATAAATACACACACACATATCAGATTGTTATAGGTCCTGATTCAGTCATAAAATGTCACATCTGCAAATTTGATGAGCATGTCATGTGATACTTTTATCCAAGTCATTGATAAAAAATGTAAATCAATACACTTATCCCCTCCTTCTCTTCCTCTTTCTCCCCCTCCTTTTCCTTCTCCTCTCTCTCTTTGTCCTCCTCCTCCTTTTCTTTCTCTTCCTCCTCCTTCTTCCTCTCCTCTTACCTCTTTATACCTCTGTGTCTCTGTTTCTCACTGTGGATTCATCCACCATCTTTATGTTAATTATTCCCAAATCTATATATCCGGCTCTGGTCCTGCATTCCAGTATTTTTATCTTCATGTTGAAGATCTGACCATGTCACTCCTCTACTCCAAGGGTGCCTCCAGGATCAAATACAAAATGCTGTTTGCTGCTCAGAGCTCTTCATAAGGTCACCCCACCCCCACCTTTCCAGTCTTCTTAAACCTTACTTCTCACACGTCCTTTTTGATCTAGTGCTATTGGCTTACTGGCTATTCCAGGAACAAGACACTGCTCTTAGCTTTGGGTATTTTCTCTAGCTGTGCCTGATGCCTGGAATGCTGTCCCTCCTCTTCTCTGCTTTTGGGTTTCCCTGGCTTCCTTCAAGTCTTAGCTGAAATCTTACCTTCCACAAGAAGACTTCTCCAACCCTCTTAATTCTAGTACCTTCCCCTTTTAATTAGGCCCCGTTTATCCTGTACATAGCCTGTTTGTACGTATTTATTTCCTTGTTTTCTCCTCTGTTAGATTGTAAGCTTGTTTTTTTTTTCTTTTTTGGTGAGGCAATTGGGGTTAAGTGACTTGCCCAGGGTCCCACAGCTAGTTAAGTGTCAAGTGTCTGAGGCCAGATTTGAACTCAGATCCTCCTGACTCCAAGGCTAGAGCTCTAGGCACTGTGCCACTTAGCTGTCCCTAGATTGTAAGCTTCTTGAGGGCAGTTACTGCCCTTATCTCTTTTTGTATCCTTAGCACTTAGCACAGTGCCTGGCACATAGCAGGGGCCTAATAAATGCTTATTGACTGAGTGATCATCTGCATTTTTTTTAACAGCATCTCAGGTTTATCATGTCCAAAATAGAGTTCTTCCTTGTAAACCTGCCCATCTTGCAAAATTCCTTCTTTCTGTGGAGGGTAGCACTATCCTTCCATTCACCCAAGTTTGCAGCCTCATAGTCATTCTAAATTTGTTCCACTTCCTTTCTTATCTCATGCATTCAGTTGCTAAAACTAGTCAATTCTTCCTCCACAACAGTTTTTGCGACCAACCCCTTTTCTGTACTCGTGTGGCCACCACCCTACTTTTAATTCCCATTTCTTCTGGTTGAGGTTATTGCAATAGTTTCCTGAATCCTCTCCCTGCTTCCAGTTTTTCCCTGTTTCAATCCATCTTGCACACAACTGCCAAATTATTTTTCCTCAGTTTTCCAGGGGTCCTACAGACCCTTGCTCAAAAACCTTCAATGGCTACCTATTACTTATAGAATAAAAAAAGTTCTAATTCCTTAACCTGGAATTTAAGGCCTTCACAAGGTAAACTTCAGCCAACCTTTCCAGCCTTATTTCACACCATTCCCTCTCACAGACATTATGTTCCAGCAAAATGGAACTACTTCCTAGAATTTAATATCCCATCTCCCTCCTCTGGGAAATAGCACAGTCTGTCCTTTATACCTGGAAAGCATTCTTTCCTCATCTCTGCCTTTGAGAATTCTTAGCTTCCTTTAAATCTTAGCTCAGGTGTCATCTCTTCCAGGAAGCCTTCTGAGATCCATCTAATTGCTAGTGATTCCTCTTTCTCCAAATTATATAGCATTGACCTATCTGCATATATGTTGGCTGCATCTCACTCTTAGAAGTATGGCAGTTCCTTGAGGGCAGGGACTATTCTGCTTTTGTCTTCGTAATCTCGATACACAGATCAGTGCCTGGCACACAGAATGCCCTTAATTGCTCATTAAATGGAACTCAAGTGGGTTCTAGAATCTTTGCTATCATTAACTAGTTGCACAGCTTTGGCTTGGTCCCCCTACCTTTCTGATCCTTACCCTCATTGACTTTCTGTCTCGGGTCTCTGGGAAGGTCTGGGAGGAGGGTCTTAGGGGTGCCAGCGGTAGCAGGAGGTTGTGTGGCCTGAGAGCTGGGAGGGTCACCTCACCTCTGCACAAGGGCTCCGTATCATTCCAGTAAGGGTCCCGGACATTGATGCACTCAATGATGGCAGGTCCCTGCTCCAGAGAGTGACCAGGGTCACAGGTGAATTCCACCGTGGTTCCAATGTTGTAGGTTGGGTCTGAGGTTGTGAAGTTGCCATTTTGGATATAGGGCTCATAGCAGTGGCCTTTCTCAAAAGCTGGAAGGAGAGAAGGAGACGTAGGGAATGGGGAGAGGGCAGATTGATAAATCAAATCATGCTATGGATGTCTGCCCATCAGGAGAAGTCGTCCTTCCTGGTCCTAGTTCCTAGGATTTTATAAAATCATAGATTATAGGTTTAGAGCTTGAAGGTACCTTAGAAGTCATCAAATTTCAAGACTTCATTTTACAGATGTGGAAACTGAGACAGACAAGGGCTAAGTGACTTGCCCAAGGTCACACAGTTAATAAGTATCTGAGGCAGGATTTGAACCCAAGTCTTCCTGGCTCCATGTCCAGTATACTATCCATGACATTTCCTCAGACTTCCCCTGAGGTTTCTGGGTTAGGAATATACCATGACATTGAACTTCTCCATGGTATCAGATACTTCTGATACTAGCCATGTGACCTTGGGCAGATGATTTCCCAGTTCTAAGTCTCAGTTTCCCCATCTGTAACATGAGGCATTGGAGCTAGAACTCTGGAGTTGGAGTCAGGAAGAACAGGGTTCACATCTGTATGATGCTGGGCAAAGCTGGCAGATCTGAGATCTAGATCAGGAAGGGGCTTTGATTCAACCTCCTTATTCTATAGATTCCTTGAGACTCAGGGAAGGTGATTGACAGGCTTCAGAGTTCCCAGTAGCAAACATAAGAGGCTAGATATGAACTCAAGTCCTGTGACTCCAATCTGTTCCTTTTTCCTCTGGACTGCATTATCACTGAGCCTCATCTTTAACCTGGACTGATATATCCCATAAGGACGAGATTTCCCTGGGAGCACTTATGTCTTCCAGATGTCTCTCTCCCTTTTTGCCTCCATCAAATCTTCTTGTACTTCCTTCTGTCCTTTCGGGGCTGTGATCTCTGCTCTCTGTCCAGAGAAATTGTACCCCCAAGTAGAATCAAAGAGATCAAGGTAATGTAATAAAATGGGTACTGGTGTTGGAGTCAGAGAACCTGAGTACAAATATTGGGTTTGCCAGTAACTACCTGCATGACCTTGGGTAAGCCATTTGATTTTCTTTAGGCTTCAGTTTCCCCACCTGTAAAATATGGATAATAGTAGTGTCTACCTCCCAGGATTATTGTGAGGATCAAGTGAGTTAACATGTGCAAAGTGCTTCGCAAACCTTAAAGATCTATGGAAGTGTTAGCTATTGTTATCATTGTGGTTATTATCATTATCATTACTGAATTGCATTAGTTTAAATTGAATTGACTCCCAGAGAAGAATGGGGCATTTTCTTTTTCTGACTAGAAGGCTTAGGCTAGAAACTGTGTCCAGTGACAGAGTCACCTGGAGAATGTGATGGACCTGTTTGGAGAAGGTTGATGAAATCTGACCAAAGATGAGAGCCAGTGATTCATTTGAAAGGCTTGCTCCTCATTTGAAAGAGGAAATCTCAATTTAGCCACTGGTTCCACAAAGTACTGAAATCTGCAGGGATAAATTCCTCCTGAGTGCCCTATCCCTGCTCTCATCTGCTCTTCCTCAAATGTCCCATTCTGATATCTAGGGCCTGACAGCCCTGTGGACAGCCATGCTCTATCCCCTGGTCCCCTCCCCAGGGAGCTGGGGAGGTCACCTTCAAATCGAATGTTGAAGACTGTGGTGGCCCTGGCCTCTTCAGCCATGAAGTAGATCCGGATGGCAGAGCCTTCACTCAGCAGACCTTCGAAGGGAACATTCTCCGTTTGGAAGGAATCGTAGAGGACAGTCGACTTGTTGGTCCTGCCACTATAGACAACCATCCTAGTGTTCCAGGGAGAGAAAGTAAGGAAAAAGGGAAAGAGAAAAAGAATTCTCCCTTCATTTTGCTCACAGCCCAATGAGTGGGAATGAATGTCTCTCCTCAGACACCACCAAATAGGATCATAATATCATACCTTGAGAGCTAGAAGGCACATCAGGTGCCCAACTGCTTCATTTTTCAGAGAAGGAAACTGAGGCCAGGAAGAGAGAGTGACTTACCCAAGGTCACAGAGAAGATACAGAATTTGAATCCAGTCCTCTAATGCCAGAGCTAGAATGTTTCCCTTTGTGTCAAACCAACTGCTTTTGTATTTAAGTTTTTGGAACTGAATCATTAAAAAAATTATTTGATGTTCTATCAGATAATAATATCCTCTCATGTGAGGGGTGTTATGATATGATGTCAGAGGATTTGGTTTTAAATCCCACCTTTAATAATTACTACTTGTGTGACCTTGGGCAAGTAACTTATCCCACCTTGTGCCTCAGTTTCCTTATCTGTAAAATGAAGGGGGCCAGACTAGATGGCCTCAGAGTTTCCTTGCAGCTCTAGGTCTGTGATCCTATCTACCCCTTATCCTTTAATGCCCATGTGTCCTTGGACGACTTTGGGCCTCAGTTTTTTCATCTGTAAAATGAGGTCACTGTTAAAACACAGATGGTCTCTGAGGTCCCGTCCACCTCTAGACACTTTGATTTTTCTGGTCAATATGGACATTAATTTTTTGTTTTCCCTTGCCTTCCTGTAAACTACCTCTTTTCCTCCCAGGTGATGTCTCCCTGAGTCACTGGGGAAGGAATGAACAATTAAAGTCCTCTGCTTCCCTTCCCCTCTCTCTGGGTCCCACGGGCTGGTCTGAGTGTCCTAATCCCCTAGGTTAACGTTCTGGGCAAGGCTGCTAAGGGAGAACACATGCTTTTGTGTCTACAGCTAGTTTTTACTTCTACATTTAGTGTTCTTTTTTACAGGGCACATTAAAGTCACTGAGACTTCAGGAGTCTTTCAATTTTACACCAAGTGCCCAGAGTCTGGCAGTGAGTTCCAAAATCCCTAAAATGTCAGGACTCTGGGGATGATTTTCAAACCACGCAGTGAAATGCAGCAAGCCTGTGGGAAATACTAAAAGCAAAAGAGTGGTTAAAAAAGAGTCCTGGGATGAATGGGAAGAATTATGGCCTTGGATGGAGAGAAAGCTTTCGAAGCCATTTAGTTTAAAGACCCTGGGGGGAATGCACGGGATAAATTCAATACAGCTTGGAATAATCAACGGTAAAGGGATTCAAGAGGAGAGGAGAAAGGGGAGCTGAGGATGAAGCCAAAACAGCGGGGACCAGGAAGATCTGTGAAATGACCACAATTTCCTTTGTTACGGTATTGGCTTTTGGCATAACACCAACTTGGAAAGTCTTCTGCACAAATAGGGAAAAGGTTAAATGGGGGAAAAATCTTTGCCTCAAATTTCTCAAAGGGTTAGTATCTAAGATATATAGCTAACTAACATATATGTATATATACACATAAATAAACACACATATATGCAAATATATGTATATGTGTGTATGTATATATGTGTGTATCTCTGTACCCCCTCAATCATCCTTCTATCTATCTACTTCTATCTGTCTATATAACTGTCTACCCAATCATCTATCTAAGCAAAAGTTATCTCTTAATAGATAAGTGGTCAAAAGATATAAAGCTTTCAAAAGAAAAAAATAAAAAATTAACCACCATATGAAAGAATTCTCCAAATTGCCAATAATAAGAAAAACTAAAGTCCAAACAGCCCTGACCTTTCCCTCACATCCAACAAATTGGCAAAGATGACAGAAGATGGCGTAGTCCGTGTTGGAGGGGCTGTAGGAAGATAGGTATGCTAGTGAATTGCTGAGGGGGTGGTGAATTAGTACAACCATTTTGGAAAACAATTTGGAACTATGCAAATGAAGTGATTAAAATTTATACCCCTTGATTCAGGGATTCTACAACTAGGCTTATGCCCAAGGAAGTCATCAATAAAAAGAAAGTCTCCATATACACCAAAATATTTACAGTAGCCTTTTTGGGGGTGGTGATGGTAGAAAAGAATTAGAAACAATGTAGACACCCATCAACTGGGGAATGGCTAAACAAATTGTGGTACATGAATGCAATAGAATAGTATTGTGCTAGGAGAAATGATGAATGTGATGAATACAGAAAAACATGGGAAGATATGTTAACTGATGCAAAGTGAAGTAAGTAGAGCCAAGAAAACAATTGATGCAAGACTGTATTGATGCAAATGGAAAGAGCAGCCATCATAAAACAAGTGCAAATGAGTGTTACAAAATGATAAGGAATAAACTGGGCCTCAAAGAAGGGCTTCCCCCACTCATTTGCGAAGGTGGTAGGGAGAAGGAGAGAAGGGTGCAGAACATTGCATATGGTGTCATTTTTGTCAATGTACTGATTTATTTTGTGGAATATTTTTCTTATTCCTTTTGTTTTTCTTTTGAAAAAATTCTTTATTGTAAGGGAAAGATCTTTGGGAGGCCAAAGAGGGAAGGTCACAGGGGGAAATAGAGGTGATGTAAAAACATCAGAAGCTCAGAGAGTTTAAGTGACTTGCTCATAGCTACAATTAGTGCCACAGATGGGATTTGAACCCAGGTCTTTACTGACTCCAAACCCAGCATTTCTTTCTTTTCTTTTAAAAAATGTTTTCATAGGTTCATAGATTTAGAGCTGGAAGAGACCTTAGAGATCATTGAGTCCTACCCCCTCATTTGACAGATGAGGAAACTGAGGCTGAGGGAGGTTAAATGATTTGCTCAGGGGCACACAGTGTCTTGGACAGGATTTGAACTCAGGTCTTTCTGACTCCAAATCTAATGCTCAATCCACTATGGCACCTTGATGCTACCTGGTTGTTCTAGGTTGGCCCTCCATTCCTCTCCTTGTGTGCATTGCTCTTCTTCCTCTGCCCTCTAGGGGCCTGAAGCTTGGTTCTATAAACTCTGGCTGATATCCAAAGAGAATCCCTTTGTGCTTCCTTGATCTGGGCACAGTGATGGGAAGCATCCAGGTGCTATACTGGAGTCTCAGAGAATGGAGGAACAAAATGAAGTGTGGTGTAGTAGACAGAGTGTTGGGCTTGGAGTCAGGAAGAGCTGGGTTCCAATCCTGCCTCAGACACTAGCTGTTGGACCCTGGGCAAATCATATAACCTCTCTGAGCCCCAGCTTCCTCACCTGTGAAATGAAGGAATTTGACTTGATGACTTCTAAATTCCCTTCCAGAACCAAATCTGTGGTTTTATGGAGCAGTAGAAAGACAGAGAAAGTCCACCTGCACATTGGCTGTGCCAACCCTCTCCCTCCCAGGGCTCACAAGTAACCCTCATTTCTTGATGGTGGGAGAAGTATCTGAATCCTGAAGGCAGAAGCCCTGCCCAGCACAGGGTGGCTTGCCTAACCCTCTCTATGCTTTTATTTTCTATGAAAATGAAGGATCTTTGGAGGATTCAAACATCAAGGAATTCAGACATAGTGCAACACCAAGCTCTGAGACATCGTACAGTCTCTGATTATATCCCTACAGGAACATAAGTTCATTGAGGACAGGGACTCTTCTTCTCTGGTCTTGGCTCCCAGGTGCCCAGCACAGTGTCTGACAAACAAAGCACGTGATAAACGCTTGTGAAATTGAATTAAATTGAATCTTGTATTGTTTCACCTGGAAACAGGTCTGCTGCTGCTCCTCTCGTTGAAAGGGTACTAGATGAGGAGTCAGGAAGCCTGGGTTTTATTCCCAGTTCTGTTACTACCTCACTGTGTGACCTCACATAAACCACATGATCCCTCTTGGCCTGTTTCCGTACTCTGAAAAGGGGGCAAAAATGCCACTATAGGACTATGGCAAAGAAAAAATAGCTTGAAGATTGGTCTCGGAGAAGAGTTAAGAACACACACTTCCCTCCTTTCTTTGCAGAGGTTGGGGAATATGGAAATATGGAATATTTTGCATACACACTGAAGCACAGTGCCAAATCCCTCCTTTTATCTTTACATTTTCATCTTTTTTTTTTAACATGGGATGGCTCACTGGGGAAGGGAGTGACATATGATGAAGTGAAGGGGATATATAACCAAAGTTATCAATAAAAATAAGAAAAATGTGCTACAAAGAATGGGCCACCTTTCTCCATTCCTTGGAGAGGCGGGGGAGTACAGGTGCATTATGTTGCATATGCCATCAGCTGTGGTCTCTATATTAGTGGTTTCCCATAACTTTTTTTCTTTGTTACAAGGGGAAGAATTATTGTTTGGGTGGGTGGATGGAGTGACACATCTGGAAATGACTGACATAAAAACAAAAGGCATCAATAAAATGTTAATTTAAAATGAAAAGAAATGTGCTCATCAAAATTGAGTATTTTTTACTATTATTAAAAACTGTTTGAAGGCTGTGTCTTGGCCAGGCTCTGTATTTTTAAGACATTATGCAAAAGGAAAAAAAAAACAATCCACCAACTAGATAAGTCTCTTTTATGAAGTCATAAACAGGCATTTTATCCTTTGATTTTTACTATGTCTCATAAACGAGGTTTATTGTCTGTTGCCAGACTGACTTTCTAATGTTACCGAAACACAAACATTGGTAACCACACTGGAATGTGGCACTGTATTTTCTGGGCATTTCTTGGGGTGCTGTGTGTGGCAGTGGAGAGAACATTAAATGAGGAGTCAGGAAACCTGTCTTCTAGTCCTGGGCCCTGCCTTTAATTCACTCTGTGGCATGTTTCAAGTAATTTGGGCAATCTTAGCCTCAGTTTCCCCATCTGAAAAAGAAGAGGTAGGTCTAGATCAAGGGTTCTTGGCCTGGGGTCCACAGATAAATTTAAGAGGGTTCATGAACTTGATGGGAAAAACTGTATCTTTATTTTGAGTAACCTTTGGTTTCATTTGTAACTCTATGTATTTTATTTTGTGTGTTTAAAAACATGATTCTGAGAAGGGGTCCAGACACTGAAAAAGGAGTTCATGACACAGTAAAGGTTAAGAATGCAACATTCAAATGATCTCCAAGTTCTGTTCTAGCTTGGAAATTCTATATCCTATGTGCTAGAGCCCCTCCCAGCTCTGACATTCCCGGTTCTAAGACCCCTCCCAGCCTTGACAGTCCCTGTTCTAAGCTGCCTCCCAGCCTTGACATTCTCTGTTCTGTTTCCTCTCAGCTCTGATGTTCCCTGTTCTAAGGCCCCTCCCAGCTCTGACATTCCATGTCCTGTGGAATGACTGGCTGAAGCTCTGAGGTCTAGCCAGAGGGATTAGTACAGGAACTGGATAGTTTCCCTGAGGGTCTTACCTGTCCTTCTCACTCAATGAGAGCCTCTCAAAGTGGAGATGTAGTTTCTGGCCTTCTGGTGCCTCGATGGTCCACACACAGACGTGACTCCCATTGGTGTTCCCAGGGTAGCTGGGTGAGAGAACTCTGCCAATCGTGGCGTTGTGGACAATCCCTCCACAGGGAGCTGGGCCCAAAGAATATGGAATAGGCAATGAGGAGAGGCAGAGAGAGAAAGTTAGGGATGTTTCTTCCTCTTACCCCACAATGTTCTCATTTTGGATAAGGACCGGGAACCTGAGCATCTATATTTTTAATGCTTTTTTTTTAGGGGCATGGGGGGAAAGGGCAAAAGGAAAACAAGTGATCTGTAGCCTAACCTCAATTTTTTTTAGCATGGCTGGCCCATCGTGAGCCAGGAACGCCAACAAGACAATCCCCTGGGGATGAGAAAACTGAGGGAAAGAGTCTAGTTGGACATCAAAAGAAGTGGCTTCACACAGTCATAGGATGGGAGAATCTGAGAATCATCAAAGATCTCACCTGAATGTAATCTAACCTATCACCCAAAGGAATTCTCACTATAACATACCTGACATGTGGTTATCTGGATTCTTCTTGAACGGACAGAGAGCTCACCACCTCTCAAACCAGCCTATTCTTTGGCACAGCTTGAATTGTCAAGAAATTTTTCCTAACATCAAGCCTAAATCTGCCTCTTTGTAACCTCCACCCCTTACTCTTGTGTGCAAAAGCCAATTAATTTGTCTTCCAAATGACAGACTTTCAAATGCTTTAAGAAAGCTTTGGATCTTCCTTGTGAATTCTCTTTGCCTGGCTAAATGTTCTTAGTTTCTTCAATTAATCCTTATAATAATTTAATCAAGCAATCAAGAAGCATTTATTAAGCATCCACTGTGTGCCAGGAGCTATGCTAGGTGTTGGGGATGCAAAGACAAAGGCAAAAGAAATCCTGTCCTCAAGAAGCTCTCATTCTGATGAGAGAGAGTGAGAGAGAGAGGGGAGAGAGAGAGAGAGAGAGAGAGAGAGAGAGAGAGAGAGAGAGAGAGAGAGAGAGAGAGAGAGAGAGAGGAGACAGAGAGAGAGAGAGAGGGAGAGAGAGGGAGAGAGAGAGAGAGGGAGAGAGAGAGAGAGAGAGGGAGGGAGGGAGAAAGAGAGAGAGGGGGAGGGAGGGAGAGGGGGAGGGAGGGAGAGAGAGAGAGAGAGAGAGAGAGAGAGAGAGAGAGAGAGAGAGAGAGAATATGTGCATGTAGGGTCATTGATTTAGTGCCAAAAGGGACCTTAGAGGCTGTCATGTATTGGTTCTATCATGTCTGACCCTCCATGACCCCATTTGGTATTTTCTTGGCAAAGATACCGGAGTGGTTTGCCATTTCCTTCTCCTGTTCATTTTACAGATGAGGAAACTGAGGCAAACTGGATTAAGTGACTTGCCCAAGGTCACACAGCTGGTAAGTGTCTGAGGCCAGATCTGAACTCAGGAAGATGAGTCTTCTTGACTACAGGGCCTGACATTCTACCTATTGTGCCACCTAGCTGCCACTATGTTGCACATAACATTCTTATTTTACAGATGAAGAAAATGAGGCACAGAGAGATCAAGTGACTTGTCCAGGGTCAGACAATGACTCATCTGGATTTGAACTTAGGTCTTCCTGTCTTGAAGACCAACATCCTATTCATTCCATCACGCTGCTTCTCATATATACATATATACATACATACATGTATACATATATATGTATATGTATATGTGTGTGTGTGTATGTATGTATATGTACACACACATACACACAGGTATATATGACAGACATGCAAAGTAGATATGAGATAAATTGGGGGTGGAAAGGGAAGGTGTAGACTTAAGACCCTCCACCATCTACTTCTGGATGTGCTCCAACCAATCAGTGTCTTTCTAAATAGTGATACCTAGAGCTAAACAAAGCACCCCAGTTGTGGTCTGACCCAAGCACAGTATGGATGGAATATTGCAGCTTTATTTCTGGACACTATGCCCCTCTTAGGTAGCCTAAGATTGCATTACCTTTTGGAATTTCAATTCTGGCTCTGCCACTTCCTAGTTGTGTAACTTTGGACAAGTCACTTCCATTCTTTCGGCCTCAATTTCCTCTTCTGTAAGATGGGAGGGGTCATTTAGCTAACAGCCTCCATCTTATAATCTTGACATTTATTTGTAATTCTCTTCCAGAAGAAGACAACTCCTAGAGAGTCTTTTCTCATGCTGCAGATTCAAAGGACTGGGGGATGGGTATCCCATTCCCAACAAGACCCTGGCAAGGTCAGGATCAAGCCACTTTCTGCTAAAAGGTTGGCCCCAAACTCCCCTTTGGTGCCAGGGTTTTATTGCATGCCCTATCAAATCAACTGATGATTCTGTTCAGGTCTTATTTATTGGTCATGGCTTTTCATCATTCTTGCTTAGCTACAATTTGGGTTTAATTCCTCCCTGATTTAACATGGATAAAAAAAAGAATGTGGGAGGTTTAACCAGGACTAAATGATATTTTCTAAAGAAGAAAGAGGAAAAGGAGAAAGGCAAAGTAAGAGAAGGAGAAGGCAAAGAAAAAGGAGAAGCAGGAGAAGGCAAAGGAGGAAGAGAATGAGAAACAAAAGGAGAATGAGAAAGCGAAGAGGGAAGAGAAGAAGGAAAAGAAAAATGAGAGGCAAAAGGAAAGGAGAGGAAAAGGGAAAAGGGAGAAGAAGAGAGAGGAAAGAGGGAGAAAGAATAAGAGAGGAATAAGGAAAGAGAGAGATGAGGAGGAGAAAAAGGAGAGGGAGAAGAAGAGGGAGAAAGAGCGGTAAAAGGAAAAGAATTAGAAGGAAAATAAAATCAGATGTTTATAAAGTGCTTTGCAAACCTCAAAGTACAATATAAATGCTAACTATTATTATTATAAGGAGAAAGAGAAGGGGAAGGAGAAGAAGGAAAAGGTGAGGGAGAAGGAAAAGGAGAATGAGGAGGATAAAGAGAATGGGAGAGAGAGGAAAATGAAGAATAGGAAAAATGGACTCCAAAAGCCAACAAATGAAAACTCTACAAAAACTTGAGGTAAGCATCAGCTCCACTTACACCTTGATCATGCCAAATGAGAATCAGTGGAAAAGATTGAGGATGGTTAGTCTATAGGAAAGAAGACTTGGGGATGGAGTGGGATATGATATCTCTTCCAGTATTCGAAGGGCTGTCATGTGGAGAGGGCAGAACCTAGGAGACATGGGGAGAAGTTGTGGAAGAACACATTTAGGATTTATGTAAGTGTAAGGAGGATGACCTTGGGCAGTTTACTGTCTGGGCTATAAATCTGTCTTAGAGTTCTGAAGAAATTAATTGCTGAATGTTCAGAGACAGCAGTTGCTGATTTGCATATAATAGGCTGGAAAGGATATACTTTGATCACTCAACTGCCAACTTGCAGCTGAGGGGAAGAAATAGCTGAGAAGATATATTTTGTTTTCTTTCCTATTTGTTGCTGACAAGAAGAAAGATGGCAGAGGAGAGGAATGGGAGGAGGAGTGGAGACAACATGCTTTTCTCTTCTTTTATTTATTGGCAAAAATGAGAAAAGAAAGATGAAGGGAAGGAGGAAGAAGAGAGGAAAAGGAGAAGGAAAAGGAGATGTGAATAGAATAGAAAAGAGAAGAGAGAAGATGATTTTATGAATTGCACCTGTGTTTGTTGAGAAGCAGAGAATAATCCTGCCAAATTAGTAGAATTGGAAAGGCTTTTGCCAACATTATCATAAGGGTTGCTGCCCCTTTTCCTAAAAGGGAATAACACCACTTTAGCTAAAGGTATCAGTAAGCCAAGATCTGGAAGTAATGGATACTGCAGATGCTGTCAAAGGGGTAAATCCTGTTGATCAATAGAATAGCTTAGAAGCAGAAAAACAGAGGAAACAACCCCAAAGATTGACTTGTCCAATTTAGCTACTATGCCTAGTGAAGTGTTAATATAGCACAGCACGGGTCAGCCCTGTTTAGCAATGGAAGTATTTGTTCTACACAGAAGCCATGCTCATGAAAGAACTTTTATGAACAGTTCCTGAAACAGAAAGAGAATATGGAAGCCTATAGTTACAAAGTTGTGAGGTGCCCTGGTCACACATATTCCCTATGGATGTCCCTTGTTACTTACACTGGGACCTGAAGTGTGTGTTCATCCTCTTCACAGACACTATGTACATTGATGGAAAAGTGTGATTCAGGTTTATAGGTACAATGTTATGTAAACATTATGTGATTAAGTAAATGTTTTGATTATTACTAGTGAAATATTAGTGGTTGACTTTCTTTGGGTAATTCCAAGATTTGCCAGCTTGGAGGTAGTTTGAGAGAAAGTGAGCCATAGAAACAAAGAATGAGTTCCCATGAGAAAATGGGGAAGAGAGAGCCACCACCTGCTACAATGTGGGTTGACTCATACCAGATAAGGAGGAACTACATAATGATAACATTCCTAATAACTGAAATATTCCATAAGTGGAATGGGATGCCTCTGGAAATGGTGGACTAACCCTCACTGGACACCTTAAGAAATAGGTTGGATGACAAAACAGGAAAATGATAAATGTTGGAGAGGATGTGGGAAAATTGGAACGCTAATACATTGTTGGTGGAGTTGTGAAATGATCCAACCATTTTGGAGAACAATTTGGAACTATGCCCAAAGGGCTACAAAAATGTGCATACCCTTTGATCCAGCAATAGCACTTCTAGGGCTATATCTGAAAGAGATCAAACAAATGGGAAAAGGACCCACATGGACAAAAATATTCATAGCAGCTCTTTTTGTGGTGGCAAAGAATTGGAAATTGAGAGGATGCCCATCCATTGGGGAATGGCTGAGCAAGTTGTGGTATATGAATGTAATGGAATACTATTGTTCTATAAGAAATGAACAGGCTGACTTCAGAAAAACCTGGGAAGACTTATATGGTCTGATGCTGAGTGAAGTGAGCAGAACCCAGAGGACTTTGTATACAATAGCAGCCACGTTATGCAATGACTAAGAATGTTAAACTGAACCCTTCTCAGCATTACGAGGATCTAAGACATCTCCAGAGGCCTTGGGATGGAAAATGCTGTCCACATCCAAAGAAAGAACTATGGAAGTCGAATCGCTATCACTTATTTTTACCTTAAGTTGAGTTTTGTTTCATCTTTCTGATGGTTCCTCCTATTGGTTTTAATTTTTACTTACAACTTCACTAATGTGAAAATATGTTTAATGGGTACATAAATGTAAAGCCTATGTCAGATTGTGCGCCGTCTTGGGGAGGGTGGGGGGGGGAGAAAAAGGGAGAAAAAATTTTCAACTCAAAAGCATATGGAAAAAAATATTTTTTTAAATAAATAAATAAATAAAAGTTACAAAAAAAAAAGAAAAAAAGAAATAGGCTGGATAAAAAAAAAAGAAATAGGTTGGATGATCACTTTGTCATGGTTGCTGGATAAATAATTCTTGCATAGGTATGAGTTGGATCCCATGGGATGATCCCTGGGGTCCTTTCCAGCTCTAAGATTCTGGAATTCTGTCCCTTTTCTCCCTTAATTGCCCCTCTCTAAGTTTTCCAATGCTTAGTTATGTTTTAGCTTGATGTCTGAGGGCAATTTAATCCCCCACATCTAGAAAGCAATAATAATTACATTAACAATCACAACACATGTCATTCTTAGAGAACCCACCAGTTTTCTAAGATGTCTTAACATCCACTATTTTAACTAATTCTTTTCCCAACTATTTGAGATTGGCAATGACTCACATTTGGAAAAGGAGAAATTTGAGGAATATACTTGGACCAACGTCACATAGCTAGCTAGTGCCATAGCTGGGATTGTGATGGCTTCTATGGTTGTGTTAGAAAGAGATAGGATAGGAAGATGAGTCAGGAGACCCAACATCTACTAGGCCTGGCTCTGCACCAACTGATTGGGAAGTCTTTCATAAGTTATCCCCCCTCCCCGGGCCTCAGTTTCCTTATCTGTCAAAAACACAAAAATGCCTGCCTTGCCTACTTCTCTGTCATGGTTGTGAGAAACACATTGGATAGTGGATATGAAAGGGTCTTGGAAAATGGCCAATGCTCTGTGGACATGAGGAGCTATTATTTTTGTCTTTCTGCTTTCTCTTGTTGTGTAGAGTGATTACAGAGACATAGCACCACACAGATCATAGGATCATAGACTTTGTGCTAGAGGGACCTTCGAGGCTATGTAGTCCCTCATTTGACAGATTAACGAACTGAGGCCCAGAGATGTTAAGTAACTTGCTCAAGGTCATTGGATAGTGTCAGAGTTGGGATTTGAACCTAGACCCTCTGACTCCAGAACCAGAACTAGTCATCTCTACACTGTACCACACTGTCTTCTGAGACAGAAGGTCAGAAGCTCCTGAAGCATTTATCTTTACTCTCCATTGACTCCTGGAGTGGGCTAAATATCTAACAATTAGCATCAACTAAAACCAGCTTCTGGAGACAATGAGTTCTCTCTCATTGGAAGTATTCAAGAAGAAACCATGTGAGCACTTGTTACAATGCAGAAGACTTTTCTAGGCACCCCGAGTTACTAGAGCTTTCTGTTTTCAGATTGCTTTCCATATGTCCTGCATATCTTGTATATATCTAGGTATTTACATGTTGTCTTTCCCATTATTATATAACCTTCTTGAGGGCAGGGACTATATTTTTACCTTTTTTTTATCCTCATCACTTAACACAGTGCCTGGCACATAGTAAGCACTTAATAAATGCTTGTTGACTTGACTTGGATATGGGTTAAACTATGTGGCCATTGAGTTCCCTTCTAGCTCTGAAACCCTGCAGTTCTGATGCTTTGTGAAGGATCCTGCCCCTCTCCCTCCCTCCCCTGGAGAGCCATATTCCATACTGCAATCTTCCCCTGAGGTTCTGAGATCCAAGATGAGAGAGGTGAGGGCAAGGCCCTGAATTGGCTACCCCCATCCATTTGCATGGTCTGCCTTTGTAGACTATACCTGAGCAGATGGGCTCCTGGCTGCTCCAGTGAGGTTTGGAGGCATTGATGCAAGTCAGGATCTTGGCGCCTTGCAGTTCATACCCCAGATAGCAGTGGAAATGAGCAAGGCCACCCGCATGCAGGTCCATCACTGTGACATCTCCAAAAGCGGGCCTCCGGGGGAAGCTGCAACTCAGCATGAAGGCTATAAATAAACACAGTGAACAGTTCCCTTTGCAAGATGAAAAAAAATAAAACCAACAAAAAGAACTCATCTCAAATCTTGAAATCCAATTTTTGCTAATGAAGGAGAATTTCTCATGGGGGCCACAGAGTGTGGAATTTCATCATATTCCTTGACTTGAATGGTTTGTAGGAAGTCCCAGTGTGAGAGTTTCCTTCACCAATGCAGATTGCAACTGGTTTATAACTAATAACCTTAGGCAGGGGATCTTAATCTAGTGTCCAGGAACTTTGGGCCTTAAATATCTGTGTATGTATTTTATCTATGTCTGAATTTAAATACACTTGGTTTCCTTTGTAGTACGATGTATTTTATTTTGTGCATTTAAAGGAATTAATCTGAGAAGGGAACTATTGGCTTCACCAGATTGCAAAAAGGTTCACAGTCCCAAATAGGTTAAGAATGCTTGCCTAAGACTCAGAGTGGTAAAGTGATTGGAATACTCACATCAAAGAAGGCACTGCGCTCTACGAGCAAAACAGAATTGAAGTAGTGCAAGAGAAACGTGAGATGCACGAATTTAGAGAATCCACCCCAAATGTTCACGTGGACTATCTGAACTTTCTGAGCCCATCCTGGTCTGATCAGCCACACTTGGACACACTCTATAACTTGACTCTAACATAGTGACATCATTTTGGTCCTCTTCGAGAACGAAGGACAATAACTACCAGGGTCAAAGAGCGAGTGAGTAATAGGCATGGGATTTGATCCCAATTCCAAGCTCATCACTCTCTATGATACCACACTACCTTTCAGCATTTTTCTAACACTGAAAACTCCTAGGAGTGTATCAGCAGAGGAAATATGCCTCTCTGAGTTGACTTCTTAACTCTGAGAAAAGAAGCAGCCACATATCATCACAGAGTCATGAGATAGATTGTTTAACAAGAAGGTCAAGACAAATTTAGCTCTTACCACTTCAAAATGGTCACCGTGGGAGGCCAAATTCTTATTCCTGGTTGGGTTAAAAAAAGGTCATCCTATATATTTAATGTTCTGTTAGCATGACTGCTTGCTACACATTATGGAGGCCTAGTAAACTGCAGAATTTTAATATTTCCAGGGGAAACCCTGAGTGGAGGCATGGACCAATTAACATGATTATGTGACAAGTCCCAAGAGATTAAGCTCGGTTCCTGTGAACCAGGTTTATAGGTTCGGGGATGCAAATTACATTTTATATAAGAGGGTTGGACCAGATGTTCTCTGCTAGCTCTAATGTTCTGTGTAAGAATAGCATAGAGTACTTTGTGTATAAGATTAGGGACCTAAGAATCTCACTGTCCTTTCCCTCATCAGGACAACTATATTTATTTTCAAGTTCTATATTTTAGGAAGGATGTCGATCAGTTGGGGAATGTCTAAAGAAAAGAAACATGATGGTGTTTATGCTGTCAGAGAATAGGATGTGACCTGGAGATGGAGATGTTGGGATCAACCTTATGGTTGTATTCATGCACTTGAAGGGTTATTTTGTGGAGATGTAATTAGACAAGCTCTTCTGCTTGGCCCTTGGGGGCAGAATTAGTAATAATAATAATGTTGTTACTGCTTTCTTTTTTACAGTTTTCTTGGGGAAGGTCGCATGGTAAAAAAAAAAGTGTGCTTTACTGAATAACAACAACAATAATAGCAATGATAATGATACTTTACATTTACTTCAAGGTTTGCAAAGCACTATATATGCATTATTACATTCAGTCTGAGATAAGTAGCCTGTGCTATGGTATATATTTTGAGTGAATGGGAAATTTGCTCAGGAATATATTTGGGGGAGGAAAGACAGAAACCAAATAAGACAAGTGAGAGTTATAGACAGCAGACTTTGTCCCAGTCAGTCCCTGTCCCAAATCCACCTTAAGTTGCTTTATGTGAAATAAAAAAAATGAAGCCATCCCCACAAATAACAAGAACAACAAAAAGAAGACAATGTCCCATGTCTAAATGAGGTTGAAACACTTAGATGAAATATTCAGGCCCCCATACGTTGGGTCCACATGCCATTAAGCTGGATGCTTCTAGATATCCAGAGGATGGGGGTGTCTTTCCCACTTTTTGTCCAGATCTTTTACTCTCAGGTAAATACACACAATTTGAAGAGTTTAGAAAGTCTAAGTCCCCAGGGAAATGTGGAGCTGGATGAAGAAAAGAAAGGATGAGATAAAACAAAGGAAGAAGAGAAACAATAAAATGAATGAGAAAAAATGAAGGAAAAGGAAAAACAGAAGGGAAATGAGAAAAGGAAAAGAGAGAGAAAAATAAAATAGAAAGAAGAACAAGAAAGAAAAAAGGAAGCAAGGAAAGAAAGAAAATGGAAAGGGAGCAAAATAAGAGAGGAGTACAAGAAAGGGAAAAAGTATGAGGAGGAAAGAAAAGAGAATGAGGAATAGAAGATAAAGGGAATAAATGAAAGAGGGAAAATAAAAAGAAAGAGAGGAAAAAAAGAAGAGAGAGCAAAGGAACTTCAGAGGAATCTTGATCCCAGACAAAACCCAAAATAACACAAGACTCTGTGGCCTTTGTTTGGCCCCTACCCTGGTAGTGAAGCTGGAAAGTTCCAATCCCATCATCCTGGAATGTTCGGAAGTAGACAGAAATGGTATTGGTGAGACTTCGGATCACCTGTCCCTCAACCAAGAGGGTCTGGTTGGCTAAGACCACCAGGTTGGGGCCATCCACTCCTCGGATGGAGAGCAGCTCTCCTTCAGACAGGTTCACACTCTTCACCTGGGGAAGAAAGAAGCAAGGACAGGAGAGACAGGATGGGGTAAGATTCGGAAGATGGAAATGTGGATCAGTCTTGCTTTCATTAGTCCTCCCCCTGCAGGAACATGGTAGGGATAGCTGCCTCATAGAAATCAGCAGGTGGACAGCTCACTCCAATCTTGTCCAGGAGCCTAGTCCAATTAGTCAAAGAATAAACATTTATTGAGTGTCTACTGTGTATCGGAACTGAAGAGTGGGGCAATCACAGGATCAGAGAACTGGAGGGAACATTAGGGGTCAGTGTTTAATCCTTCCATTTTACAGATGAGGAAGCTAAGACCCAGAGAGGTCAAGCCAATTGTCTAAGGATCCAAAGATAATAAGTGTCTGAACCATGACTCAAACACAGGTCCTCTCACATCAGCAAGCCCTCCTTCTACTATAAAACCCTTCAAACTGAAACCTCCCATAAGCTACCTACAAGTACTACTCATAAGATCATATGATTTAGAATTGGAAAGAACACTATAGATCATGAAGTCCAACTTTGTATCTCACTGAGGAGGAAATAGAAGCCTGAAGTGGAGAAGGGACTTGCCTGAAGGCCCACAGACTTCACAGATTTGAACTCACGTCCTTTAGTTCTCAATTCAGTGCACTACACACCATTGCCTCTTTTGTTGTTGTTGAGCTTCAGTCATGTCTAACTCCATGTGACCCCATTTGGGGTTTTCTTGGCAAAGATATTAGAGTGGTTTAACATTTCCTTCTCCAGTTCATTTTACAGATGAGGAAACTGAGGCAAACAGGGTGAAGTGACTTGCCCAGGGCTGAGGCTGTATTTGAACTCAGGAAGAGAAGTCTTCCTGACTTCAGGCCCAGTACTCTATTCATTGCACCACCTAGTTGCCTCATTGCCTCTGCTCTTTGACAAACAAACCATTACAAATGTGATGCCTATGTGACTGTGCCTCAGTTTCCTCATCTATCAAAAAAAGAGAAGACTTCAAACTGGATGATCCTTTAGCTCTCTTTCAGCTCCAGATGAATCTGAGGCTGGTGTCTGGCCTTTGGCATTTTTTCTTCTCTCCCCACCCCCACAGCTCTTCCTCTCTTTGTTTCCCTGACTCTGTTTTCCCTTGCTCTTATCTTTATCTATCTCTTTCTGTTTTTTTACTCTCTTCTCTTCTCTTTCCTCTTCTCCTTCTCTTCACCTCTCTGTCTCTCTTAGCCTTTCTATATTTTTCTATGTTGTTATTCCCATTTCTATTCTGTTTCTTTTTTAGTCTTTTTAAAAATCTCTATGTCTATATGTCTGTCTCTGTCTGTCTCCTTTTCCCCTTTCTCTCTTTTTAATCTGTCTGTCTCTTTCTGCACTGAGGTCAAACAAAGACACAAAACCTGCAAGGAAGATGACTTTGTCTCCTCAGTACAAGGGGAATAAGAGAATGCTCAGTCACACACAGGTGCACTGGGGCTTCTCAATGGAACGCTCTTCCCAGTCCCTCCAGGTGCACGCCATATACATTGGAAACAGAAGCCTAATGACACCTGGGCTCTGCAGTCTGCTGGCTAATCAGCCATGGTGGAGGTCTCACTCTCAGTGCCAAGTACTTGAATAAACAAGAGGGCATTTGAGGTGGGATGGCAAGATCAAATCTGGATTACTCCTTCCCCCTTCTCAGAACTCCTGAGTCTGAGCCTCTTGGCTGAAATCTGTTTATGGACCCCAAATATTTCAGGAGGCACTAAATGAAGATACACAAAAATCCCAAATGACTAAAAAAAGTTTATTCAGAGTTGGGTTAATTTACATTAAAAAAGGCATCTTACTTTAAAAGAAGAATCACCATATAGTTTCATTCAATAATAAACTTTTCTGGCCTATTTAAAATAGGATGCAGTTTGTGCATTTAAATTTTGATGGGCCTCAGTTTCCTCATCTGTAAAATGAGAGGGTTGGACTTGACAGTTTCTAAGATTCCTTTGCACTCTAGCTATAGGAGTCTATGGAGTCCCACTGAGTTATGACTCCTCCATGGTAGAACAGAGGTCAACCTGGGCTCTTGAAGTCCATGGCATTGAAGATAAATCTGTGATAGGCCCTGACACACTAGAGGGACTTGGAATAGAGGATAGCCCAGGGAAATCATAGGTCTGTCATGAAAGAACCATCCTAACTACAGGAAGATCTGCCACCAAGCAATACATTTTTTATTTGGGGGTGAGGGGAGAGACAGAGGCAGAAACACAGAGACAGAAGATAGACAGAGAGACAGAGACAGAGAGGGACACAGAGAGACACAAAGACGAGACAGAGACAGAGAGAGAAGGGAGACAGGAGAAAGATAAAGTAGAGAGATGTAGAGAGAAACAGACACACACAGAGAACACAATAACTCAAAGTTGATGATATAGAGGAGTTGAGGTCTATATTAGGAGAGATACCCACAGTGACTAAATTGCATATCTTTGAAATACTGGTGTACTTTCAGCAATAAAGTCAAGAGAATCACAGAGTTTCAGAGTTGGAAGGGGTTATTGATGTCATAGTTCATAGATCATTACACGGACCCTATCTACAACATCATTTATAAGTAAATTCATCTGCCTTTTGATGGAAATCCTTAAATACTGGGACACTCACCACCTTAATAGGCAAGATGTCTCATTTTGGATGGTTCTAGTTGATAGGAAGCTCATCTCTCCATGGATGCAATCATGTCTGCCATCCATTATTTCTAGTTCTTCTTTATGGGGTCAAGTAGAATAAGGGAAAAGAACCAGAAGGCCAGAGATTATCTAGTGACTATATTCTAATCTGACACCCTCATTTTATGGGTAAGGAATATATCTTTTTTCTACAGCTATTATAGCCCACCTAAATCTTCTCCTGATTGAGTCCCTAGTTCCATGAGTGATCCTAATGTAACATCATAGAATAAGATAGATTAGAGTAGAATGGAATAATCAGGCTGGAAGGGATCTGAGATAGCTACTCCTGTTCTCTTAAACTAAGAAAATGAGGAATCTATTCACCTTAGTCAGTAGATGACATCATTCATGTTTTCTAAAAAAAGACATCTTCCAAGGATCCATTCTGGGACACCTTCTCTCTATACACTATTGCTTAGTGATCTCATTAGTGGCCGTGGATTCAAGCATCATTCTGGGCAGATAAGTTTCAGATCTATATATCCATCCCCAGTCTTCCTCTGGAGGTCTAGTTCTGCATTAACAACTCCCGGGGGACATATTTACCTTGAAATCCTCTAAGCATTTCAAATTCAGCTTGTCCAAAATGATACCATTATCTTCTTTCTCTTCATAGATCCATTATCCTATTTCAGTGGAGGGTACCATTCTCTCAGTCACCCAGGCTCATAACCTCAGTGCCTCAACACTTTTTTTTCCTCCCTCACCTTCTTATATCCAGCCTGGTTGCCAACTCTTTCAGTTCTGCCTTTGTCAGTTCTGTCTTCATGACAGTTCTGCCTTTATAACAGGTCTTGATTCTTTCCCCTCTTTGCTATGCATACACCTTTAATTCAGACCCTAGGCATCTCTGGACTGGATTCCTAATTGGAGATTGCCTGCTTCTAGCATTCTTTCTCTCCAATCCACCCTCCAAAATAGCCACCAAAATAAAACTGTAGATTTTACTCTGTCATTCCTGCATCTAAGAATCCTCACTAGCTCCCTATTGCATCTAATATAAACTCCTCTGTTTGACATTTAGAGCCCTTCATCATCTGGTTTCACCTTATTTCTTTTCTTTTTTATCTATCTATTTAAGTTTAACATTCTTTTCTTTTTAAATTTTTTGAGTACCAAATTCTCTCCTTCCCTCCTACTCCTCCCCTACACACTGAGAAGTTAAGTAACATGATATCAATTGTGCATGTGAGATCATGCAAAACACATTTTCACATTAGCCATATCGCAAAAAAAAGCAAAAAAAAAGTGAAAAAAATTATGCTTCCATTTTTACCCAGAATTCATCAGTTTTCTCTCTGGAGGTGGATAGCACTTTTTTCATCATGAGTCTTTTGAAATTGTCTTTGATCACTGTATTGATAAGAGTAGCCAAGTCTTTTGTAGTTGACCATCATCACAACATTGCTGCTACAATGCACAATGATCTCATGGTTCTTCTCACTTCACTTTGCATCAGTTCATATAGGTCTTGCCATATTTTTCTGAAGCCACCCCTCCTCATCATTTCCCACAGCACAATAGTACTCCATCAAAATCATATGCCATAACTTGTTCAGCTATTCCCCAACTGTTGAGCATCCTCACAATTTCCAATTCTTTGCCACCACAAAAAGAGCTGCTATAAATATTTTTGCATATATAGATCCTTTTATTTCCTTTGATCCAGCAATGCCAGTACTAGTTCTGTAACCTAAAGAGATCAAAGGAAGAGGAAAAGGATCTATATGTAGAAAAAATATTTGGCTATAGGTCCAGATTGTTCTACAGAATAGTTGGATCATTCACTACTCCACCAAAAGTTCATGAATGTACTATTTTCCCATGCCCCTCTAGAACATGTTATTTGTGATGGATGTGAGGTGGTACCTCAGAATTGTTTTAATTTGTCTGTCTCTAATCATTAGCAATTTAGAGCACTTTTTTCATATGATTACAAACAGCTTCGACTTTTCTTTCTGCAAACTGCATGTTTATATTCCTAGACCATTTATCAATTGGAGAATGTCTCTTATTTTTATAAATTTTACGCAGTTCCCTATATATTTGAAGTCTTTATCAGAGAAAACTTGCTCTAATTTTTTTTGATATTTCTTTGTTGTCTATGATACCTTTTAGCAAAATGTAGTTTCCCAAATTATCTCTTTTAGTTAGGTTTATTTGAGGCTGAAACAATATGGATTGATTGATTCAGCACTGCCCCTTGGCACCTCTTAAAGTTTGGATTTCAGTGAATGGGACTGCTTAGTAGGATCTTTGGTTGGTTAGGACCCTTGGGAAGAGAGACTATTGTTGGTGGGAGCCAATCCTTTGTTAAGTTACTAAAGAGAAGTGACCTGCAACTTTCAATACTCTATGAGTATTTCTTATTTCTAACATGAACTGGAGAACAGTAGAGTCAACCTGGGTTCTTGGGAGATGGGAGCAAAGCCAATACAAGTACAAGGTCTCTCTCCAGAGAGGTTCATGGATGCCTTGGAATGGAAGCATATGGGAGTTGCATATGTTAACTCTTGGCTTTCTGGGTGATGGTCAGGTCTGAGAGTGGATTTTCCCAGCCCAAGAGATGATGGCCTCCAGCGTACGGAGGAGTATCAAAAGTTCCTGCAGAAGCACATGGCAGAGCCACACATATGCTTTTCAATGTTGCCTGGGATGGGGAGGGGGTGGTGGTGGTTCTTCATTTCCTAGGCAGTGTGATTGTGGAATCTAGGCTTCTAGCCAGAGAAAAGTTATTTCTTGGGAAGCGCTAGTTTTGGAAGTTGACTCATGAGCAACTCTAAGTTTGAGTGTTTGGATATCTGGCCCTAGAGAGAGAAAAGGGGAGTTCCTCAGAAATTCTCCAAGAGAATTGATGAGGGTCACTCAAATGGGCCCTACTGTTGGACAAAGGGATTAAAACCACATCATGGGGCAATAGGAAACTGACACACTCCATCTTCAGCTCTGGAAATTTTCACTGGTTGTCCCCTATGCCTGGAACATTTTCCCTCCTCATTTGTACCTTCTGGTTTCCTTGAACTCTCGGCTAAAATCCCGAGTTCTTCATGAAACCTTTTCTGGTCCCTCTTAATGCCAGGGACTTCCCTCTGTTGACTGCCTTCAATTTGTCACATCCATAGCCTGTCTGTACGTGGTTGTTTGCATGCTATCTCTCCCATTAGGCTGGGAGCTCCTTGAGGGAAGGTTCAGGTTTTTGGATTCCCAGTGCTTATTAGTATATGGGTAGTATATATTATACTATATATTATATTAATTATATATTATATATAATTAAATTAATAGTATATATTAGTAGTATGTGTCTGGCACAAACTAGTAGACATTTAATAAACACTTATTGACTGAGTGACTTAGGATTTTACTGTGAATGATTTTGAAAGTGTAGGTCTGATGAGAAAAAGATTGCTTGCATGGAAACCCCAAGTGTGTTTGTCTTCCAGTGGAAATATAAGGCATAGGGTCCCACTATGAATATTGGTGGTGCCATGTAAGGCCCTGTGAGAAAGAGTTCATCACAATGTAAAGGTATTGCCCCACTCGTAACCCCAACTCCCTTCTGCAGAATGGATTGTATGCCACTCTAAATGCTTTATTGGTTATCTGTATCGATTTATGGGTTCCTGAGTGGTCTTTCTGCCAAGTGCATTTTTTAAATGGCATCCAATAAAGAAGGACACCTATCTAATAGACATTTGTCACCTGGAGTGCTCATTTGAGATGTGTGGATTCTGTTACTCAGGCTTGTGAGAACATAGACATGAAGTGTATTTAGAAGTATTGCCTCTGTTTGAAGGTGACAGCCTAAAAGAGATCACTATTCTGAATCAGCTTGCAAAGATGGATTATGTCCATGCAGGCCCAGGGCTTTGTGGCCCTGGGTTACATACTGAAATGCTATATACCCCTAGTAGAATATAAGCTCTTTGAAGGGAAGGAGTATTTTTCATTTTGCCTTTGAATCTCCAGTGCCTAGCACATAGTAGGTGCTTAATCAATGTTGATCAAGTAGCTGAAGGAATCTCATCCTGAGAAAGGGGAAGTGACTTCTTTTAGATTATCCAGCAGGTTAGGGGCAAGATATGGTCAAAGATAATGGTATCCCTGAAGATTCTTATGTGTGCATTCCAGGCAGCAGATGTGATTTGGACAATAGAAGCTGCCTACTACCTCTACTCCAAACATATAACAATGTGGTAACTGGAATGCCCCTCTAAGGCATACTGCATAGTACATGTTATTAATATATATAGGGCTATATACTAAGGTATATATGTGTGTGTGTGTGTGTGTGTGTGTATATACATATATATATATAGGTATATATTTTATATAGATGTGTGTGTGTATATACCTTAGTATATAGCCCTATATATTAATGTATAAATATTATAATTATATATACATATTTACACATGTATGTATATGCATATATAGGCAGCTAGATGGCTCATCTTCCTGAGTTTAAATCTGGTCTCAGACACTTACTAGCTGTGTGACCTTGGGCAAGTCACTTCATCCTCTTTGCCTCAGTTTCCTCATCTGTAAAATGAGCTGGGGAAGGAAAAGGCAAACCACACCAGTATTTCTGCCAAGAAAACTTCAAATGAGGTCATGAAGTATCAGATGTGATTGAAAACAACTGAACAATGCACACACACGTGTGTGTGTATATATGCATATACATCTATCTATCTATCTATCTATCTATCTATCTATCTATCTATCTATCCACTTCTTGAGGACAAGAACTATTTCCCTGCTGTCTTTGCATGCCTAAAGTCTACAAGCTCTATAGCAGGCTCTTATATGCTTATTGAGTGACTGAGGGATAGTTGTATTTACAAATCCTTCTGTAAGAAAAAACATATTCTGCTTAGATACTTTCCTAATTGTCAAACTCCCAACGGTTCTGAGATTTATTTATTTTCATTGGATGGTTGTGAAAGAACACTGACTATGGACTTAGAGGAACTGGATTCAGTTCCTTCTTCTAACACTACTTGTGTGATCTTGGTCAAGTCACTTAACTTCTTTGGGCCTCAGTTTCCCCATCTGTCATGTGAATGGGGTTGGGCTAGATGGTGCCTGAGGTCTCTTCTAGCTCTTGACCCAGGATGCTGTCATCCTACTGTTTGACTTGGGTCAAATAGCTTAAATTTCCTGGGCTTTGGTTTTCTGTAAAAAGATGGGGGTGTAATCCAACTCTTCAGTTCTCCTCCTATTGTTCTATGGAAGGATACAGAACCAAGTTCTAATTAGAGAACAACAAAAAAGCCCCCATCCACACACTATTGCAACATGCAGACTTGCTCACGTGGCTGCAGCATGCTTGCCCAGTGAAATGTGGTTTGTTACCTGGAGCTCCACTCCATAGCCAGTGTAGACAGTCACATTGTAGGTACACTCCAGGAAGCTGTGCAGGGGCAGTGGGGCGTAGTCGTTGGAATCTATGTAGCCCTCGGGATCGGAGAAGGTGACGCTGCAGAGAGCTGAAGGCAGACATTGCAGTTAGAACCATGTTCTAAAAGCCGAATGTTCCCATGGGCCAGCAAAGCCTATTCCAAAGATCAGAATGATGGACCATGACTACTCCACCCTCTATGGCTTCAGCCTTAGGGGCCTTGGAGGCTCAGGTGCCAGAAGCTAGGAGGCAGAGAGAAAGGAGCTCAGGGTGGGAGGATTAGGATGCAGAAAGAGGACTCAAACTGTTTAGATTTTTGTTAAGATTACAGATTTTAATAAGCATTTAGGTTTTGAGAGGCAGTGTCATTCAGCAAAGGGTTTTGGAGCCAAGGCCATGAATTCAAATCTTGTCTTTCCTGTTTAATCTTTGTATAAATTTGGGCACCAGATCATAGACTTAGATCTGGGAGGGATGTTAGATATTAAGTACAATGCCCTCATTTTATAAGATCTTAGATTTAAAGATGGAAGGGACCTTGGAGGCCATTGAATCCAAATCCTTCATTTTACAGATGAGGAAACTGAGGCATGGGGTGAGGAAGTGACTTGTCCAGAATCACACAGCTAGTAAATGCCTGAGGCAGGTCTTCCAGACTCCAGCTGTAGTGCTGTATCCACTATTATACTATGCTGTGTCTCTATTTTACAGATAAGGAAACTGAGTCCCAAAGAAGTGAAATGCCCATCCTCTCTTCAGGCCAGAGACTGTTTCCCATTTTGTTTTCAGATCTCTAACCCTAGCACATTGCTTGACACACAATAGTCACTTAATAAATGCTTTTTGAACTGGGTTGAATTCTCAGGATCAAACGGTATTCTAATGTGGTCCCCCAACTCCCCAGACTCTAAATCCAAATCTCTTTTCACTGACCCATATGGCCTTTGGAAGCATTTTCCCAATCTGGAACTTGCTGTGGTCATAGGATCAGAGGTTCAGAGCTAAAAGGGACCTCAGAGTCCATCTAGTTTAATCCCCCCTAATTTTACAAATGAGGGAAATGAGGCACAGAGATGGTCAATGATCAGTCCACGGACATAAAGGCAGCAAATGGGAGAGCTAAGACTTGAATCCAGATTCCCTGATTTCAAATCAATCAATCAATGAACAGGTACTTCAAAAATTATGTGCCAGGCGGGCAATATGCTAGGCTTTATATAAAGAGAAAGCAAAAACAAGACCTGCCCTCATGCCTGTTTTCATTCTAATGGTTGAGAAATTCTGTTCTCTTTCTACAATCCTAGCCTGCCTGCCGGGAGAGGCTTAGAGATTAAGTTAACAAGTTAAGGTAAAACCAAGGTCATCTGGGGGAGTTCATACTGATAGTTTCATTATACTTACTGAGTATGGACAAGATTCATGTTGTATTGTGGGTTTCATCACTGGTCAGTGACGATGACCTAGAAAATCCTTTCTAGCTTTAAATCCTATGAATATAAGTAAGCACCTTCAGTAGAAAAAAAAAAAGTTGTATGGATAGATAAATATCCTCTGTGGGTCAGCAGTTGTAGCACAGTGGATAGAGCACTGAGCCTAGAGTCAGAGAGACCTGAGTTCAAATTTTACCTCAGACACTTACTAGCGGTGTGATCCTGGGCAAGTCACTTAATCCTGTTTCCTCTTAACTCTGCTTAACTCAGTTTCCTCATCTGTAAGATGAGCTGGAGAAGAAAATGGTAAACTACTCTAGTATCTTTGTCAAGAAAATGCCAGATGGGGTCATGAATAGTAAGACATGATTGAAAAATGACTGCACAACAAAAGCAGTTGGAAAACACTGAGATGGAGAGGAAATCAAAGTTGTACCTATGCTCCTGGGATGAATGAAGTTGGGGGAGGGGGAAATGTCCGGGCTATTTTTCTACTGGGTGAAGTCCTCCCAGGAGAAGGGATAAGCTATCCCCAGGAGATCCCTCTGGCCCCTGCTAGAGTGTAGGGAGTGTGTAGGAGTGTATAGTGGGCCTAAAAGAGGACCTTTAGGGTGATGGCCTGGGGGATAGTTCTGCCATGTAGAGTCAAGGGAGGGGAGGAACCACAATGGTGCTCTGTGTGGAGAGGAAGGTCACTTTTCTGGATGCCAACACCCTGAGGCAAAGCCCCTGTTGTTCTGAGAAAGACGATAACTGAAGTGTCAGTTTTAGACCTGGAAATAATGAGGAGAAGGGCTGAAGTTGGGGAAAAACAATTTTGGAAGCCCCACGCCTCAAACAGAATCAAGATATAATATAAATGCATGTTTGTGACGAGCTTCCAAAGTTTCCGTGGCTAATCACTGAGCTTCATTCACCTCTCTGCCCCCTCTGTCCCCTTCTTGTTTGGTTCTTGAACAAAGCATGCTGGGAAAGATAATTAACTAGTCTCCAAATTGGCTCATTTGCTGAAGTCATATGGCTATTTCTGAGGGTCATTTTTCAGGGAGGAAGCATAGAACACCAATCAACTACAGAAAAATGATGAGGAAAGTACCGCAGAGGAGCCACCTCTAAAATTGTCATGATCTGAAGCTATTTGACAACCAATTTCTTGCTGGTTGTTAGACCCTGTGGAGCGTATGCAGCCTCTAGCAAGGCGACTATTAGCACAGCAATGAGATGAGTAAGAATAATCATGGTAGAGTGCAATGTGCCTGGGATTTGAAGTCCGACCTGGATTCCAAATCTAGCTCAACTCGTTCACACCTGAATTAGTCTAGTTCTGGGAACTAGAAGAAAAGTATTTTATTTTTATTTTAGGCAATTGGGGTTAAGTGACTTGCCCAGGGTCACACAGCTAGTAAGTGTCAAGCGTATGGTCTGAGGATGGATTTGAACTCAGGTCCTCCTAAATTTCAGGGCTGGTGCTCTATCCACTGTGCCACTTAGCTGCCCCAAAAGGATTTTATTTTAAGGAATAAAAATATAGCCATACTTACCTCGAAGGGTTGCTTTAGATTTTATTAATGACATTCTTACTACTCATTCACAAAAAGGTTGCAAGGATTTTGAGCCAGTGACACCAGCTTCCTGGCCACAATCTCTGGACTGCAGGCATTTCCTCTGGCTGAGCACCATGCCTGGAATGCCCTCCCTCCTCTTCTGCACCTGGTTTCCCTGACTTCCTTCAGGTCCCAGTCAAAATCATGCCTTCTTCAGGAAGCCTTTTCTTTTTTCTTTTTTTTTTTTTTGGCTAGGCAATGGGGTTAAATGACTTGGCCAGGGTTACACAGCTAGTAAGTGTTATGTGTCTGAAGCCGGATTTGAACTCAGGTCCTCCTGAATCCAGGGCCAGTGCTCTATCCACTGTGCCACCTAGCTGCCCCTGTAGGAAGCCTTTTCTAATCGGTTCTGTTGATTATTTCCTATTTATCCCGAATACAGTTTGTTTGTACATAGTCGTCTGCATGCTGTCTCCCCCAGTAAATTGTAAGCTCTTCGTGGGCAGGAACTGTCTCTTGCCTTTCTTTGTATTCCAAGAATTTAGCACAGTACTTTCTATATAGGAGATGCTTAATAAATGTTTATTGACAAACTGAGAAGCATGGTTCTGACTCACTGCCATTTTTGGATCCCAACCTTGTTCCGGGAGATGAAGCTACACATGTAACTATGACTCAGGAAATAGAACAGTGAACTCCTGTGAGTGGCCTGAGGGTGTTAGGGTCTGTGGAGTTCTATAGTGAGATTGAAAACAGAAATGGAACCTTTTATAAACATAACAGTCTTAGGTAGGCAGACCCTACCTACCTGCGAACATGCCAATAATGAGAAAAGAGAAGGATTCATTCAAGGGTTGGTGGAATTAATTACTACTTATATTAATTTAACTGTCCAGGGCTGTCCCCGCGTAGTCATTAAGCATTCATAGAATCGCAGAGGCAAAAGGGTCACCTAGTTCAGTGGTGTCAGACTCAAATAGAAATGGATCATTGAAGCCACAAATTGACTTTGAAATCCACAAATTAGCATTGTCTATGTTGTATTGTATTTCTACTTATTTTGAGGGTCTAAATATTTCTTAATTATGTTATATTTTATTTATATATTTATTTTAATATAGTTATTTACATAAATATAAAATAAATTTATTTTATTTATATGAATGATTTTTTATAATATATAAATGATATTTTATAACATATATATTATATTTTAATATGGCTCAGGTTGCACTGGGGAATTTCTTCTCAATGAATTTGATACCTCTGATTTAGGCCAACTTGTACCCCCCTAAATAGACTCTACAATATATTAAAGGTCTTTTAATACCTGAATGGATCACATTTTCTCCCTGAATCTTTTCTTCTCCAGGATAAATACCCCAATTTTCTTCAATGCATTCCCATATGTCGTGATTCTGAGACCCTTTGTGACCCTAGCTGCCTTCCTCTGGATAATGTCCACTTCATTAGCATATTTCCTAAGATGTCCAGAACTGGTTTTTTTTTCAGTTGTTTCTACCTGCACAGCTCTCCTTCTCTCTCTTGGGGACGCCTTTTGGTCAAACTATACTACATCATGGCCTTGAGCAAGTCACTTCTCTCTGAGTCTTTTTCCTCAACTGTAAGATTTGGGGTTGGACCAGATGATTCCTTCTAACCTAAGTTCATTCCAAGTTTTTCAGTGATTCACACCAGGTTTCAGACTTGGAAGAGCCCTCAATGGCTATTAGCCTACTCCATCCATCCATCAATTAATGGATTAATCCACAAGCATTTATAAAGTAACGAAAAAAGTGACAAGCAGAAAGAGACTAGATTTGTTCTGCTCAAGACCCAAGAGGGCAGAGCTAGAAGGAAGGCTTCTCCCAATCCCCTCCAGATCTTTGTGTCACTCCCCCCACCCCAATCCCTGACATTATTTTGTATTTTATGTGTATATATGTTGCAGCTAATAACACATGTCCATGTTGTTTTCTGGCTAGAATGTAAGCTCCTTGAGGGCAGAGACTGTCTTGCTTTTGTCTTTGCATCACCCAGCACCTAGCGCAGTGCTGGGTATATAAGAGGTACTGAATAAATCACTGTTTGTTTAATGTTGTAAAGACAAAGCA